TCCATCCATCCATCCATCCATCCATCCATCCATCCATCCATCCATCCCACCACCCATCCACCCATCCACCCAACCCCTTCATCTGTGCAATCATTCCAGCCTGCCATTCCCCTTTTTCATTCACTGTCTTTCTCCCCAGGCTAGACCCCAACCTTTCTCTCCCTCTTCCAGCAGGAGCAGGTGGCCTGGCACCTGGCGTGGGAGGTCTTGCTCCTGGTGTAGGTGGCCTGGCACCTGGTGTAGGTGGCCTGGCACCTGGCGTGGGAGGTCTTGCTCCTGGTGTAGGTGGCCTTGCTCCTGGTGTAGGTGGCCTTGCTCCTGGTGTAGGTGGCCTTGCTCCTGGTGTAGGTGGACTTGCTCCTGGTGTAGGTGGACTTGCTCCTGGTGTAGGTGGCCTGGCCCCTGGCATTGGAGGTGTTCCAGGTAAGGCAGGTTGTGGTGGCATCTCGGCTGGTTTGGGGACAGGTCATCCTGGTGGCCTCCATCAGCTTGAAGCCATCTGTTTGTGGGCGGCCAAGATGAAAGGGATGAGCTTTACCCAGCACTGCTAGGCAGGGCCCTGACACTGCCCCTTGTCTTGCTGTCCCAGGTGTTGGAGGTCCAGCAGCAGCCGCAAAAGCAGCAGCTAAGGCAGCCAAATATGGTGAGCTGAGCACATCTCCACGTGGGTGAGCGGTGCTGGCACAGGCGCTGCCCCGGCCCCACGCAGCCCCCAGGCTGTGTCCTCAGCCCCTTTCCCCCACAGGTGCTGGTGTTGGAGGGGTGCCAGGTGCTGTGCCCGGTGCTCCTGGTGTGCCAGGAGTGACACCTGGCATCGGTGGTGTCCCCGGCTTAGTGCCAGGTGTAGGGGTGCCCGGTGCCGGCGTTCTCCCCGGAGCAGGTGAGGGCATCACACATCCAGCTGTGTGTGATGGGAATGGGATGCCTGTGCTAACTGCAGTGCCCTTGCTTATTTTGCAGGCATCCCCCAGGTCGGGGTGCAGCCTGGTGCTAAGCCTCCCAAATTCGGTACGTAGCGTGGTCACCGTTCCCCAGCCTGCTCCCCTTTGGGCATCCTGTGTTGATATCAGGGTGCTGTCATTGCTCAGCATCCCTGCATGCCCTGGCAGGGTGGCCCAGGTCTGGGAGGTGGCACTCTGCACGGGGTGACAGAGTGGGGACGTTTTCCCCACGCAGGATGGGTCAGGGCTACTCCCCTGGGGTCACTGTCCCTTCTGTGTGGGCTGAGGGCACCTGGCCTCACTGTCTCTTTCCTGCAGGTGTGCCCGGGGCTGGGGTCCCAGGGGTCGGTGGCATCCCAGGTAGGTGGTGCAGGGGGTGGGTGCTCCTCTGGGGTGTGGGGCTGCACAGGGAAAGTGAGGGCTGCTGTGGGGCTGGGTGAGGAGTGGATTGGACCCAGGGATGGCACTGCAGTAGGAATGCCTCATGCAGATCCCACTGCCACGTGAACCAAGTATGGTGGCAAGGCCAGCACTGCCATGCTCAGTGTCTCCAGCCCCAGTTTCCCAACCTGGCCTGAAGCCCACCGCAGTCTTTCCCAAGTGCAGCCCCCTTTGCCCCACTGTCTGTCCCCATGGCCACCTGTGGGTGCTCACCTGGACTCTCCATCACAGGTGGCCTCGGAGTTGGTGGCCTCGGAGTTGGTGGCCTCGGTGCTGGTGGCCTCGGTGCTGGTGAGTGGTGCTGGTGGGCTTGGTGTGGGGGTCCCAGGGATGGAAGAGCTGAAAAGGAAATGGCATTTTGGGGATGCAGAACCACAGTGTCCCTCACAGCTGTGACTTGCAGGACTGGGTTTTGCGGAGCAGGAAAGGACAGGGGCATGGGTCCCATGGTCCCCATATCCCCACCCTGCTCTGTCACTGTGCCTTCTCTGTGCCCTGGGGTACAACAGGGAGGGGATGGCCACGGCCCCAGCATGGCGCAGGCCATGGAGACAGGGAACAGTACAGCAGTGACCACAATGTGTGAGACACCTGGGAACCCTCTGGACTCAGTGTGGGGGCTGTGCTGATGCCCCTCTCTGATGTAGGGCTCTTGTATCCAGGAGCTGCTGGAAAACCTCCTAAGCCAGGTAAGGAACAGGGACGGCTGTGGCTGCACTCTGGTGATACCCCCATCCCCATGCCCTCACCGGGGCTCTCCCTTCACACAGCTTTTGGTGCTGGAGGGCTGCAGCCAGGTGAGAGCTGGGGCTGGGAGCTGAGGTGGGGCTGTCACTGCCCACACTGCTGTGCTCTGTCTCCATGCCACTGCCTCACGGGGCGCACCGGGTGGGCACCCATAGTGGGGATGTGGCTCTTGGGGGCAGCCAGCTGTAGGCTGGGGACACCGCAGACACGCAGGGCTGTCACTGCTTCTCACTGCTGTCACTTTCCACCCCCAGGGGCTGGAGTTCCCGGTTTTGGTGTGTCACCGATATTTCCAGGTACTTTCCTCTGTGCCCTTTGCCATGCCCACGGGGACACACAGCCCACAGGGACATGCAGCCCTTAGGGCAGGGGGAGACATGGCCATGGGGGGGGTGGGGCAGAGCTGGGCTGGGGGCACAGGGCAGAGCATCCCGAAGCCAATGAGGTTTTGCTGTGCTTGCAGGTGGGGTTGGTGGCCAGCTGGGATTTGGCGGTGAGTGCACTCTGGTCACACACATGGGGTTGTTGGGTTGGAGTCCCTTCAAAGGGCACCTGTCCCCACGCTGCCTCCCACCCCACTCATCTCTCTGCCTCGTCCCCACAGGGAAGCCCCCCAAGACCTACGGAGGAGCCCTGGGGGCCCTGGGCTTTAGAGGTGAGTGCTGTTTGGCATCCCCCCACCCCTCCTCCGAGCACCTTTCTGGGGTGGGGGGCTGATCCACTGTCCCCCCTCCATCCCCAGGTGGAATTGGCTGTGCACAAGGGAAATACTGCGGGAGGAAGCGGAAGTAACCGCCCACCGTCACCGATGACCTCATGAACTTTGGTGCTACTGCATGGTCCAGAATGTAAATCCCCACCAAGCTGAGACCCCCCCCCCCGGCCCCACGCTCCCGTCAGGGACCCCACGGCAGCGTCAGGGGCCGCCCCCCCACCCTGGGAACCCCCCCAGCCCCAGCAGGGAGTGCGGAATAAACTGCGGGGAACAGCCATCCCCCTTGGTGCTATCGCTCCTTGCGGGAGGGCCTGGGACCCCCACCCCAACCCGGCCCCGGTGCTCCCCCCGGGGGGTGGCTGACCCCGGGGGGGGGCCGGGCTGAGCACGAGGGGCACGCAGGGGTGGGGGGAGGGAGGGAAGGAGGGAGGGAGGGAAAGAAGGGGTCCCGGTGGCGGGGGACAGCGCGGGGACTCTGCCAGCCCGCGGACCCCCCCGGCCCCCTTCATGTTACTCACATTGATATAACTGGGTGGGACGCCCTACGCAGAGGGAATCGCTGCCAACAGACTAATAAAGGACAAGTTTTTAATGGAATCTGCCTCCGTCCTGTTCCTGTGTCCCCTGGTCACCCCCCACCCCAGGACAGTGCCTGTGGTGGTGACAGTGGCACTGCGCTGTGCCCCCTCCCGAAATGCAGGACTCGGGTGTGCCACGGTCAGACATCCCTGTGCTCAGGGACACCACAGCCAGGTGTGGGGACAGCCCCAGAGGGGACGGCTTGGAGTCACAGAGGATGGCCCTGTCCTGCCCTGCAGTGACAGCCTGGGGGTGCACGGGGACAGCCGTACCGTGACCCACGGCGACACCCCGGGCTCCGGAGGGACATCTGCATCCCGTTGCACGGTGACACAACCAGCTCACATCCGACTCCCAACCTCCCACGCTGCCTCCCGGCGCGGCGTCCCACGAAGCCCCGCCCCCTCCCCGCGCTCTGGCCACACCCGCAACCCCTCCCGCTAAGCCACGCCTCTAGGACACGCCCCCTTCTCATAGCTCCGCCCCCTTCTCATAGCCCCGCCCACAGCCCCGCCCCCGCAGCCCCCGCGCCGGCGCCCTGCGCCCCCGGCCCGTCCCCGCCCGCCGCCTGCCCGTGCCCGCCGGAGCCGCAGCCGGAGCCGCACCGCAGCGGCGGGGCAGGGCAGGGCAGGGCTCGGGGCGGCAGCGGCGGCGGCAGGGCCTGGCGCGGTGCCGGGCAGCGCGGCTGCATGAGGTTGATGCTGCTGTGCTGCACCTGGAGGGACGAGCCCATGGGAGAGGAGGAAGGTGCGTGACCACCCCCCCCCCCCCCCCCCCCAGGGCCCCCCTCCCCCGCCCCCCCCGACTCAGCGCTTCCGCCGCCCCCGGGCCGCCCCGCGACCCCCTCCCCTCCCAGCGGCCCAGCAGCGCTCCCCGCGTCCTTCCCGTGCCCCTTATCCTACCCGCATCGCTCCCATACATCTTCCCCCGCATCTCCGCATCCCTTCGTGCGCCCCTACAGCCCCCCCCGCAGGCCTGCTCCCCGCTGAAGCCCTACATCACTCTTGCATCCCCAAATCCCCTTTCTGCATCGCTCCTTCATCCTCATTCCCCTCCCTGCAGCTCCCATCCCATCTGCATCCCCACATCACCCCTACATCACTCTGCATCTAGCCTGTATTCCTCTTCCCTCTTACACCTCGGCATCCCAATATTCCCTTCCTGCAGCCCCCATCCAGACTGCACCCCTACATCACTCCTGCATCCCTATATCATCTCTGTGTCATCCCCGTTCCCCTATCCAGCCTGCATCCCTCCTGCACCCCTGCATCACTCCTGCACTCCCATCTAGCCTGTGTCCCTCTCTGCACCCCTATGTCACCCCATCCAGCCCGCATCCTCCCCTGCACCACTGTATCACCCCAGCTTCTCCCATCCCACCTTTGTACTCCCCACATCCCTGCCCCCCAATCTGCCTGCATCCCCCTTGCACCCTTACATCTGCCCCTGTTACCCTATGCCAGTCTGCATCCGTCCTAGCTCCATCCACACCCCTGTCTGTTACCCATGCACCCCATTATCCAAACTGCATCCCCCAGCCCCCCCTACATCTCCCCCTGCATCTCTAACCAGCCCATGTCCCTCCTGCACCCCCACATCCCTTGTGCACCCTCCATCTATCCTGCATCCCCCTTCTGTACCTCCATATCTCTACACTCATGCTCTCCCCATACTGCACCCCTACCCCCCTTCTGCACCCCACAACCTGCTGCACCCGTTAACCTGCATCCTGCCCTGCACCCCATACCCACTCTGCGCCCTTCCTGTGTCCCACACCTGCCTGCACCCCCAGCTGCACCCCACTCCATCCCATGTCCCCCCAATGGTGCGCTCTGCTGCATCCCACACCCTGTGCATCCCTGTGTGCATCCTGCACCCCTTGTCCCCGCATCCCTCTGCATCCCCACGTGCACCTGCATCCCCCCATCTTGCCTCCTGTTCATCCTAGCAACCTGTGCCCTGCACCCCATCCTAGGTCCCTGTGCTGCTGCTGCACCTCATGTCACCATCCTTCTTGCACCCACCTGCACCCCTGCATGCCCAGCACCCATCCTGCACTTCCATGCAGTATGTACACATACCTGCATGCATCTGATGTCCTGCTGTGCCCCTCTCCATCCTGTCCCCTTTCTCTGCATGTCCCCTTCACCATCCTGCAGCCACCCCACACTGCTGCAAGCCTCACGTTGCTCCCCCAGCTTGGCACCAGCACCCCTCTGTCCCCGTGCATCCCAAACATCTGTCCTACAGCTGCATCCCACTGTGTCCTCATGTCTCCTCTCCCCCCTGCCTGCTGGGCACCCCCGCGCCCCATCTCCCCATGCCTCCTGCACCCCAAAGTTTCCTCTCGTGCTGAGCACCCCCATACTGCTCTGCTGTCCCTTCCAGGACCTCCGTGTCTACTTTGTACCCCTTGTGCCCCATGCATCACCTCCTGCCCCACTGCTGAATGCTTCATGTCCCCCCTCTGGCCTCCTTCCCCATCTCTATCTCTGTCCTCAGTGCTCTGCCAGCCTTGTGTCCCGCTGCCACCCTGTTCCACGATGTCCCCATGGTGCCACCCATCACCCTGGGAATGTGCATTGCCGTGGCAGGGGATAGAGAACACCCAGTTCCCTTGCCCGGAGTACAGCCCTGGTTGGCACAGTGGCAGTGACACTGCCATCAGCCCCATCCCCAGCACCAGGAACACGAGCACAGTGACCTTGTCCCCAAGTTGGAAAGCTTGGGGAATTGATCCATGGATCGATGGGGAACCGAGGGGTGGCTTCGGTGGCAGAGGGACAGCAGGAGCACGTGGTGGGGACGTGACAGCACGCAGGGTGACATCCCTGTCCCTTAGGGACCGACCTGCCCGTGTGTGCGAGCTGCGGCCAGGGCATCTTCGATGGGCAGTACCTGCAGGCGCTGAACGCTGACTGGCACGCCGACTGCTTCAGGTGGGACCTGCGGTGACATTAATAACAGGGGGACATGGAGGTCACTGAGCCCACACAGGGCTCTGCCACTCGTGTCACGTCCCACATGGCTGTGTCCCTCCTTCCTGCCCCCCGGGGTGCGCAGGGACAGCGTGGCCATGTGGTGGGGGCTGATGTCACCGTCCCCGTCTCTCCCCGCTTCCTCTTTGTCGCGCTCTCTCCCTGCGGTGGGAGCTGGTGGAGGAAGTTGGGGACGTGGGGGTGGCCCAGAGCTGGGTGGTGACGGGGGGGCAGGACAGTCCCCATTCCTATCCCTGCATCCGGATGATGCTGGCAGCTGTGCTGAGGAAGAGCCGTGCCCTGAGCGCCGGAGCCAAGTAAGGGCTGGGGTGGGTTGGGGGTGCTCGTGTCCCCTCCCAATTTCATGGGGTGCCGTTTCACATCCGGGGTGCACTGCTTCCCTGGAGCTGGGATGGGTGGAGGGATGGATGGATGGACGGATGGACGGATGGGTGGACGGATAGATCCATTGGCCCCGTGAAAGTAGCCCTGTGGGGTAGCTGGATCCGGCCTCTCCCCTCCCCTCCACCCCAGGCTTCCGGAGGCCCATGGCTGCCTGCAGAAGCCTTCGGCCTCTCCTCCTTCTCTTCCTCCTCTTCCCGGTACACGCTTCGGGCTCTGCTGTCCCCCAGAGACAGGAACACAGTGCCTGCTGCTCCTGCTGCCGTGGGGAAGTTGGGGCAGTGTGGGGAAACGTGCTCTATCAGATGCTGTGGCAGAGGAAGGGAGCGGAGCGTGACGGGTGCCGCATCCACCCGCGTTCCGGTGCTGTTTCTCCGCGCGATGCCCGTTCGTGTCCCTTCCCCCGCTCCCCACCAAGCTCCGCGGCCGCCCCGTCGGGGCTCAACGGGAGGGCGGCGGCAGCGGAAGGGTTAAGGGGGCGTGGCCGAGGCGCCGCTTCCCATTGGCTGCCGTCCCCCGGGTGGCGCGGAGCGGCGGAGACCTCGCGCGGTGACGTCATGGGGTGGGGAAACTCCGCGCCGTGACGTCACGTCTGTTGGAGGGATGGGGAGGGGGTTCCACGTGCCTCCCCCCGGAGAGAACGGGGCGGGGGACGGGGACTGCGGGGTCTGATACAACCCCCCCCCCCCCCCCAAATCCACAGCCTTCCTGCAGTGCTCTCATTCGCTGCCCGTTGTATATCTCAGCCCCTCCCCTCCCCCAACCTCGTAATTCAGTCCCCCCCTCCCATCCCCCCCCCCATTCCCGCACTCCCACAGCTCACAGCCTCCTGACCCCCGCCTCACTCCGCCCCATAACTTACTGCTGCCTACAGTGCACCGCCCTATAAACATGCTCTGAAATCACGGTGTCCCTCAAATTCGCACCCCCCACCCCTATAAGTCACAGTAATTTAGTGCCACCCCCTGCACTCCCACAGCTCACAGCCTCCTGGCCCCCCCAACTTCACTGCTCCCTATAACTCACTGCCCCTCTGCGTCCTCCTCAATCGCTGCATCCCACTAATAAGTCCCTGCCCCTATAAAAAAAAGTCCCTATAATTCACCCCACCCCCATCATTCATTAGCCCCCTCCCCACTGCTGTCCCCCCAGATTCTAGAGGGGGGAGGCTGCTTATGCACATGCCCACACTCTGCACGCAGGGGGGAACAACACGGGGGCGAGCGGGCAGTGACTCATGCCAGGGCTGCAGTCCCTCGGTGTGACTGTCACCATGTCACGCACCCCTCCCACACACCCCCAGAGAGGAAGAAATGGAGGGAGAGGGGACACACATGGCAACAAAGGGAAGCAGCGCACACAGCCG